TACCCCAGCTCCTTGTCCTCATATCCCAGCTCCTTGTCCTCATATCCCAGCTCCTTGTCCTCATATCCCAGCTCCTTGTCCTCATATCCCAGCTCCTTGTCCTCATACCCCAGCTCCTTGTCCTCATACCCCAGCTCAGGGTTTCCAAAGTTCTCAAAGTTCCAAACTGCGTATAATCAGTATACTGCATATATTTCCAGTAACCTTCTCTTCTAGCAATAGTTCCACTACACTGTAGTCGTTGGCTATGTATATTATTATCAAATAGAATGTATATTCTATCATATTGTAGTGTATAGTCCAGTTAGACGATTTATTTGAGTATATGTCGGTTGGTATGTATATTCTCAGCCTAGGGGAGTATTGTAGAAGTAGGGTAGCCTATGTATACTCTCATATGCTCGCATTTGCAGTTGTATGTATGTTTGTATGTATTCTCGGCACGCCCTTCATGCTGGAATAATTTGCAGAGTTCCTGAGGCCTCAGGAAATGTATATGTTTATCTCAGAATGTTTGGTAATATGTTTATTGTTTGTGGTGTGTGTATGTATGTATTAACACGATGTACTGAACGGGGTGAGAATGGCTTGAGCTACCTCATCCCTTTGTGTGTATTTTACCTCAATAAACTTATTTCAATTTCCTGAGGCCTATTCCTACCTTCCTATTCCTACCTACCTACCTATTCCTACCTACCTATTCCTACCTATTCCTACCTACCTACCTATTCCTACCTACCTACCTATTCCTACCTACCTATTCCTATTCCTACCTACCTACCTATTCCTACCTGCCTATTCCTACCTACCTACCTATTCCTACCTATTCCTACCTACCTATTCCTACCTACCTATTCCTACCTACCTATTCCTACCTACCTATTCCTACCTACCTATTCCTACCTACCTATTCCTACCTACCTATTCCTACCTACCTATTCCTACCTACCTATTCCTACCTACCTATTCCTACCAACCTAACCTAACATTCCCCACAATTCCTCCACTGCATCCGTAATGGGGAATAATATGAATATTTTATTTAAGACTTTTGGTCCTGAAATGAATCTGTAAAATTTTCTATTTTACGCAAGTGACTACGAGTCACTGTCAGGTGGGACTCGACCGGCCTGACCTGAAATACCTGTTGGGTTAGTGATGAGGGCTGCCACCACCACCTCCAAGGTCTGCACCTCTACACCGCCTCGCCATTGATATTGGAGTGGCCGAGGGAGAGACGGTTACGGGATCGCCATAGCCCGTGCTACATGGACATTTCGTTCTGAGTAGCTAAATCTATAAGAATATTGATGAGAGACAGACAGACACGGACAATGCGTGCATGCCTGTTGATTATTCCGAGGATCAGCGTCCCATGCGGCCCGGTCTCATGCCCAGGCAGCCTGGTTAGTGGGTCTGATCAACCAGGCTGTCACTTGCTTAGCTAAATGAAATGTTGCCGTTCTGTAACCCTTTCCACCACCGCCCGGGATGGGTATGGGGTGCATAATAAATAAATCGAATCTTAGCATTGGTTCGAACGCTCACTAGAGTTCCTGTGGATTTGTCATACCTTACCCTTACAGTTTAATGGGCAGCGCTTCGGTTTTGTAGTCCTGAGGTTCCGGGTTCGATCCCCGGTGGAGGCGGAAACAAATGGGCAGAATCTCTTTCACCCTGATGTCTGTTCACCTAGCAGTAAATAGGTACCTGGGAGTTAGACAGCTGCTACGGGCTGCTTCCTGGGGGGGGGGTGTAATAAAAATGATGCCTGGTCGAGGACCGGGCCGCGGGGACGCTAAGCCCTGAAATCATCTCAAGATAACCTACTCTTAAAACATGGAGTTAGCATCATCTACCTTTACTTGGTAGATGCTGCTCATCTACCTTTACTTGGTTGATGCTGCTCATCTACCTTTACTTGGTAGATGATGCTCCCACTTGCTAACTACTCGTACATGGAAGAAGTCCTTCCTTACAGCTACTTTGCTCAGTTGAATTCTTAATTCCCGTTCTTCTCGTGTTAATATATTTTTTGTATCGACTACATCAATGCCTCCAAGCTGTCTAGTTTACCTGAATCTACCTGAAGGCCTGCATTTCTCTAGTGGCCTCGACGAGGGCAGGAAGCCGGCGTCTTGTCATAGCTTCCCCCCCCCCCCCATGATTTTGTCGAGTTGGATCTTAAATTGCAGTTGTATTTTGACATTTACGGCATTAGCGGGTAGGCGGTTCCATGGATTTATAACCCTATAAGTGAAAAAACATCGTTTTCTGTTTATCAATGTCTAGGTGCCGTGGCTTTTCCTCATAGTTTTATCCCTATAGCTTCAGATCAGGTCTGATTGCAGCTACTCCAAGATTTACTTTCCTTAGCTGTCAGGTACAAGCGTGACATTGTCATGCGAGAAGCTTGCCCTCGCGTTACTTGGGTGGGCCAGCCAGCCAGCCAGCCAGCCAGCCAGTCAGTCAGCCAGCCAGCCAGCCAGTCAGTCAGTCAGTCAGTCAACTGCAGCGGTCCCCCTGTAGTTAGCTCAAAGGTGATCCATATTTTCCTCCACCGTACGTGTCTGCCAGTAGAGACATCGACTGGGGGAAGGTCTATGCGGGTCGGTATCCTTCCAGTCGACAAATCCTGATGAGCCAAACATCGCGAAAGGCGACACACAATTGTATATAGTGATATTAGGATGCGTTTCCATCCTATCAATGGTGTTGATCAATAGCCTACTCTTCACTACTCTCTGACCCCCATGTGTACAGCCTCTCCTGTTCCTTCTCTTCCTGTCTCCTGTTCCTTCTCTTGTATCAAGATGACGAGGGAGGAAGAGAAGGGACAGTAGTTATAGAGGAGGATGAGAAAGCTTGTACAATTATTCTCTCTCCACGACTATCCGTCTAGCCCTTCCCACCATTCGCTTCTTCCCCTTCCTTTGTCACTCCCCTTCCCTTCTCCCTCTCTCTCGTCACACCCCCTTCACCCCGCCATCTTCCGCTACTTTGACCGTGAATGTTTTTGCTCTCTGAGGCTACTGGGCTCTGTGAAGAGCTCTGTGCCCTCGAGGTGCGTAGTGGGTCCGCGGCTCTCTTGCACTCTCTCCTGCGTTCCCTCTCGTTCGCTCTATTTCATTTCCTTTCTGGGATTGTACAAATCAAATGGTTTTATATCGTTAAACCGCACATATGATGGTGGTTTTGATCTCTTAAATCCCATACAACTTCGCTATGTCAAATCTTTTGTCCCCGTTTTCTTTCGCTTATTTCCTCTTTGACGTAACGTAGCGCGGGAAAAAATATAAGATTAAATTGCAACAATATTTTTCCCCCTCAGTGGCATTCATGATAAAATAATTCGAGAATGCAAAAGCTTTTCGGTATTTTAAACTGAGTATTAAATTTAACGTTGGTTAATGTTTGGCTCGCGGAAGGAAAGTTGATAATTCTTCCGCGAGAGACCGTATTCGGACACGCGATGACGTAACGCAATATTCCGTTAGCTACGCAATCGGGCCGTGAACATTGCAACATATTTGGTGACGTAATTTGCAACGTCGCTATATTTTGTACGCTATTGGGAAAAGCACATGACAGTCTAACCTAATCTAATATAAACCTAATCTAATATAAACCTAATCTAATATAAGCCTAATCTAATATAAACCTAATCTAATAATAAACCGAATCTTACTGGAAATCTAATCTAATTTACCCAATATAAAACTAACCGATTATATACCTAATCTTATCTGAATCAAGTGTAACTTAACTCTTCTAGCTAAACCGAACTTAACCATTTTACCTAAACCGAACGTAAACCTAGCCTATTAACCTATTTTTAACACCCTAGCCTAACTATTAACCTATTCATTGTATCATCCTAGTCTAACTTAATTATTCTAACTAAACCGAAGCTATATAAAATTATATATAAAATATATAATGTGTAGTATGTGAATCTGTCTTTACCTAACCAATCCCGTCAGAACGAGCCCAAAAGCTTTAGTACATCCGTAGGCGTCATTAGAATTGACTGTGTAGCCTATACCAATTGTGTTATCTGTTATCTTATTGTATCTGTCTTATCGTAATGCCTTCCAAAAATGAGTTAAAGTTATTGTTAACATAATAATTCTTGAAAATAATTTTTTTTTATATTCCTGTCTTGTTCCTATCAAACTTTTATGACGTTTCTGTTCTATGTCAAATGCCATAGTATTTCTAATTCTAAAAATATCTGAACTGAATACCGGAAATTGTGAAATTTGGCTGAGGGGAACACCACAATGAAAGGCTGGCAGAAAGTTAAGTAGAAAAGTAATTTGAAATAAATAGTCCAATTACCGTCCCCCCTCTCTGAAACCGTAGGCCGTTATGATTGTAATTGGTGACAGTTTTTGAACCCATTGGCTTGTTACACCTCCGCTAGTTCAATTGGCGACGAGGAAATTGTACCTTTGGTTTCACCTGTAGTGATCTCTGGGTCTCTCCTGTAGTGATCTTACTCATCTGTGGCACGATCTCCAGGTCCAAGTTCTTTGTCACGCCTTGAGGAGCCACTAGGAGATTAGACATAGCCTAAGCTACTCTATCTCTTTGAAAGGTATTTTGTTGTCTCTGGAAACGTATTTGAGAGGGCAATCATTCCTCGTGGCTCCCTATTTGCAACTCATCATTAGGGGGGGATGCCCCATCACCTCAGGGAGACGTTCCCATCACCCCAGGGACGGCCCCCATCACCCCAGGGACGGCCCCCATCACCCCAGGGACGCCCCCATCACCCCAGGGACGCCCCCATCACCCCAGGGACGCCCCCATCACCTCAGTGACGCCCCCATCACCTCAGTGACGCCCCTATCACCCCAGGGACGCCCCCCCCCCCATCACCTCAAGGGGCGCCCCCCCATCACCCCCGGAACTCTTTACACACGCCCTGCTTGCTTGTCTCTCACCCCGTGACTGGCAACTTGCCACATGTCTCGCCAGATGGCACTTGTCATGCGATGGCTGACAACCGTGAGAGTATCGGTGGCAATTTGTGTGCGCTCGTGCTGGCGAATTGTCACCAGTTGCCCATGCTGGAGCGAACGTGAGAGAACGAACGAGCTTCGGAAATATTTTCTGCCTCGTGAAATGCCTAAGAATAGTGATGAGAGGAAGCTGAAGCCGCTTGCCTCAACTGTTTCCAGTTACTGGAACCAGTGATCTCAACTGCTTCTAGTCACTGGAACCAGTGATCTCAGTAGAATCTACCCCGTCAATCCAGGCTTAGCTAGAATCTACCCCGTCAATCCAGGCTTAGCTGGAATGTACCCCGTCAATCCAGGCTTAGCTGGAATCTACCCTGTCAATCCAGGCTTAGCTGGAATGTACCCCCGTCAATCCAGGCTTAATGGAATGTACACCGTCAATCTAGGCTTAGCTGGAATGTACACTGTCAATCCAGGCTTAATGGAATGTACACCGTCAATCCAGGCTTAGCTGGAATGTACACCGTCAATCCAGGCTTAGCGGAAAGCGTCGAGAAACCCAAGAAACTCGTATTTACAGACGTCTGGGTGTAGCCTATAAGAAGCAGAACGCCAAGCGTGGCCATGCGTAATACAATCCTTTCTCCAGGTCATGGCCGTTGAGGAGAATGGGAAGCATAAGGTATTTTGGATGCTAGATATAGGTCATCAGTGGAGACGTGTCCGCAGAGGTCACGACCTCTCCGTAGGGTGCAGTCGCACCTCCACAGATGGCTTCAAAGGGCCACCACTTACGGGTTATTCATGCCCGTACCACTTTTTGGGTGGCTTAATCTTCATCAATTATTCAGACGTGTCCGAGCGGCATGGAACCGTGGAAAGTGCCATAGGGAATGTTCCTCTGTTGTGGTAGCCATGTTTGTCCTTACTGTGTGTGTCTCATTGTTGCCTTCCATTTCATTCACAAAGTTTATGATCTTTGCTTTGTTAAAAACAGCCTGTGTACCAATGCCATATTCTGCTTTCAACTCCTTTCTTCTCCAGCCATGGTCACGTTTTTCTGTGTGTTATCCATGTTTGGCAAATTCTTCTTGGCCTTTTCTATTCAATAGGAGCTGCCTCGTATGGGCCAATAGGCCTTCTGCAGTTACCTTGATTCTTGTGTGTTTATTGTAGCCATACAATGCTTGCCATTGTGTTTATTGTAGCCAAACAATGCTTGCCATTTGAATTATATGTTTAACACTTCTCTAACCCTGTCCATGGAGGACAGAAGAAAATGTATATATGCTGGTTAGCATTGTAAATGTCTGGCCACGTCTGTGGTAGAAAATAATAATAATAATAAAAAAAATGCTTGCCATACACCATGGCTTCAACTCACAAATAGTAATGTTTTATGTCCAGAAAAGACAGTGAAAGTGCTTGGGTTACGAGTGGTCAAACCACACTCGCAAGAAAATTCCCACAATGGCTGTCACTTGAAAATGGTTAGCACTCATTTGTAGATTTTTTTAGTGCAGTACAAGAAAAAATAAATCAATAAAAATATGATAAACTCGTTGATGATTAGAGAATTTGTTTACGATTTTTATGAATTGATCATTGTGTGGTAAACAATTTTTATGAATTGATCATTGTGTGGTAAACAATTTTTATGAATTGATCATTGTGTGGTAAACAATTTTTATGAATTGATCATTGTGTGGTAAACAATTTTTATGAATTGATCATTGTGTGGTTAATGTATTTGTTTATATTTTGTTAGATACCCGTACTGATAATGTTGTTCAATAGAGGTACTTATAATATTTCTGCATTTTGGGACTCTCCAGCTACACCTGAATTGATGGGTAGATACGGCCCAATGTTGTAGCTGTCCCTTAATCCATAATAATCATCAGCATCATAAATGATGGGTATAAATTGGATAAGTTTAGATTTAGGAAAGACTTGGGTAAATACTGGTTCAGTAACAGGGTTGTTGATTTGTGGAACCAATTACCGCGTAACGTGGTGGAGGTGGGGTCCCTCGATTGTTTCAAGCGCGGGTTGGACATGTATATGAGTGGGATTGGGTGGTTATAAATAGGAGCTGCCTCGTATGGGCCAATAGGCCTTCTGCAGTTACCTTTGTTCTTATGTTCTTATCATGTATTCATTATATTTGTTCTCTTTGACAGAGAGCCTCACAGAGTGGCCCTAGCTAAAGGTGGAACTGGCTTGGGATTTAACATCGTTGGTGGCGATACGGCCCAGTGTTGTAGCTGTCCCTTAATCCATAATAATCGCATCGTGTATTCATTATATATGTTCTCTTTGACAGAGAGCCTCGCAGAGTGGCCCTAGCTAAAGGTGGAACTGGCTTGGGATTTAACATCGTTGGTGGCGAGGATGGGGAAGGGATCTTCATCTCCTTCATTTTGGCTGGTGGCCCGGCTGACTTGTCTGGAGAGTTAAGGCGGGGTGACCAAATTCTTAATGTAAATGGAACAGATTTACGTTCCGCTACACATGAACAGGCTGCTCAAACTCTGAAGGTAAGCGTTGTTGAAAATTGGTATAACTAATTTTTTTGCAACTAATCTGAAAAGTTTTATAAGCCTTTATGCCTCACAAGGATTTTAATGTTTTATAATTTTTCACTATACTTTGTACTTTCATTCATTATTCCTAAATAATCCAATCAACACATGAAATGAAAGGAGCCATATTTTGGTTTGTCCTGAACCTTTATCAAGTCGTGATATGAAGATGATTGATGAAGATTAAGCCACTTAAGAGGTGGCACGGGCATGAATAGCCCGTAAGTGGTGGCCCTTTTGAGCCATTACCAGTATCAAGAGATGGTACTGCAGATCTGTGGAGGCGTGACTGCACCTTGCATGATGGGAGATGTCTCCCGGACTAAATGGTCGGTGATATGAAAGTTGGTGAGTGTTAATATAAGGCAAGGCGGAAAGGTGAGGCGAGGGGTAAATGGAACAGTAAAGGATTTAACATAAATATATATAACATTTTTGACAGGGATGTGGACAAACGGTAAACCTGACAGTGCAATATAAACCTGATGAGTACAACCGCTTTGAGGCCAAAATCCATGACCTCAAGCAGCAGATGATGTCCGGCACTCTGAGAACCACTCAAAAACGCAGTCTCTACGTTAGGTAATATTTCCTTGTGCATATTTAGCAGCCTTAGCTTGAGTGCGATTAAATAGAAGGTAGTTTTGCAATATACTAGACAAATGCTGATATTGATTACAGTACTTCTTTAGGGACATGTACGTACATTGAAAATGATTATACCTTAACCCTTTTGTAGCTGCTGCTTGTTTTATGGTTAGTTGCCACAGATGGTGAAAATGGGTTGAAATTATTTTAATTATACTGTGTTGCATTATAATGCATAATATTCATTGTAATACATAATACTGTACATTAATTATAATTGTTTTCATAATTACAAAAACATTCTTTTAAAGCACCTTATATCACCGGGAAAATGATTGTACTGTAATTGGGAATCTAGCCCGTTCTCGCAAGCATTCCCAGAGTCAAGAAACTGTCGTACTTAACTGCCTTATTCTAACCTACCAGAGGACCCACGAACTTAAAATGGGAATTATGTAAATTTCGCAAGTCGCTACCATTTTCTAGAACGACAGTTATTAGCCTTGGTAAAGTTTACGTCAAAATGAGACGTGCTATTAAGAGGATGGGTAGGTGAATTGGCATTGAAAACATTGATTCAATGTTGATTTGAACATTACTCGATTGATTTTTGCCTGCTGGGTTGAGACAAAATTCTAGTAATCAATTGTCATACTGTGAAATAAGTAATGGTATTGTTTTCTAACAGTCATAATAACATAGGATAAAAACCCACACTAGGTGACATTGTAATTATAAGGGGTGAAGGATAGATGAAATTGTTTATGTAATAATATAAGTTGAGATCTGATAAAGACCTTTTGTGCCTTCTGTAATGCTTTTTTGCGCTACCGCTCACAGAATGAGTATCGGAGTGCATAATAAACTAGCCGCCTCTGATGGTACAGTAAAAACAAAACAACTTATGTATTTGTGAATTTTATGTATGCTGTGAAAATGTGTTATATAGTTAATCTTCCTTCAGAGCTCTGTTTGACTATGATCCCAATCGGGATGATGGTTTGCCTTCACGTGGTCTTGCCTTTAACTATGGAGAAATTCTTCACGTTACCAACGCTTCTGACGACCAGTGGTGGCAAGCCAGACGTGTCCTGCCGTCAGGCGAGGAAGAAGGTATGCACAACAACTGAAATGTGTCATGTTAAACGGGATTAAATTAATTTAATTTTCATATTTCCATATGATAAGTTTGCTTTTTTTTTTACAGTAGTGACCATTTTTCTATTAATATCTTGCAATTTTAATGAGATTAATTTGTTATATAGGAATAGCTGTACAGTACTAATATTTGGACTACTTGCATAAATCAGTGGTATTCATTCCTTTAGAAGCCAGAGAACCTTTGTGTGACACAAACAATTACAGTACTAGCTCCCTAAAGATGAGTTAGTACTGACTTAGAGTATGTTAGCTTAGAGTATGTTAGGAACTTAGAGTAAGTCTATTTATACTTGTATATTCATTGTAATTTTGATGTACATGGTTTAGAAACTGTATGGACATTTGATATGCACAAAAATATAGTACCAGTGTCAAAAACATTCACCATTATAGGCATGTGTATGGTACTGTATTGTATTGTATGACTACAAGCTTTCTTGATACTACTTATCCGGATATGCCAGTTATTTATTTTAGGTTTATCCGAATAAAAGTAGTAATAAAGTGGTGAGGCGTGCAGGAGGTCAGAATGAAAAGGTGCAATAAAGTGGATGGGCTGAGTTTGCCCAGCGACTGTACTGGGCACTGGACACCTCCTGTCCATGGGACGTCATACGTCTATGGCCCTCTTCCACCACCTCTAACCCCCCCCCCCCCCCTCCTTCCCTTTCCACCGTCTCCTCCCCCTTCTTCTGCCTCCTTCCCCTTCTTCCACCTCCTCCTCCCTCTCTTCCACCTCTCCTCCCTCTCTTCCACCTCCTCCTCCCTCTCTTCCACCTCCTCCTCCCTCTCTTCCACCTCCTCCTCCCTCTCTTCCACCTCCTCCTCCCTCTCTTCCACCACCACCTCCCCCTCTTCCACCACCACCTCCCCCTCTTCCACCACCACCTCCCCCTCTTCCACCACCACCTCCCCCTCTTCCACCACCACCTCCCCCTCTTCCACATCCTCCCACTCTTACTCTTCCACCCACCCTCTGCCTCCCTTGTAATGTTTTTTAATAAAAAATTAAATGGTCATTTCTGTATTATAATTCTCACTAATGCTATGTAGCATTATTATAGTATTCTATATAATTTGGTACCTCTCTCGTCTCCTCTATAGCAAGTACATTTTGAGACGATCCCAGTAGTTTAGGTCGTAGTGAATAATAGCTGAAAGTCCAGTTTACAGTCAGTTCAAACCCAGAGTTTGAAGAACACTGTACTAATTACACACTGTGAATTCATTACTCATTGTATATATTACAGCACACTGTAATCATTACAGAAAACTGTGTTCACTATACCCCCATTGTTTCTCCTCCACTTTGGTTGGATGGTAGAGCGACGGTCTCGCTTCATGCAGGTCGGCATTCAATCCCCGACCATTTCTTCCCCTGTCCCGTCCCAACCTAAATTTCCTAACCTTACCTAAATTTCTTAAGATGCAGGTAAGGTGCAAGAAGCGACGGTCTCGCTCCTTGCAGGTCGGCGTTCGGTCCCCGAACGTCCAAGTGGTGGGGGTCACCATTCCTTTCCCCCGTCCCATCTCAAATCCTTATCCTGACCCTTTCCCAGTGCTATATAGTCATAATGGCTGGGTGCTTTCCCTGATAATTCCTTTTCCTTGTATCCTAAGATATGCTGGCAAGAGGATAACGTTCTTGATTGCTCTCATTTAGTTAAAACAAATCAAGTTCAACTCTGAAGGCCACTTTAATAAAATATTACTTTATTTTGTGTTATGCTATGGGAGCCTTGTACCCTGGAAACACAAACCGTAACTGTCCCTATTTTCCGCTTGTTACAGCTTGTAATAAAGTTGTTACATCTTGGCTTAACGTGTTTATGACGTATTAGAACGTTGATACAAATTGCTATATTGGTTGTTATAACTAGTTAGGTGGTGTTAAAACTCGTTCGAACGTTGTAGCAACGTCGTAGTTTTGTTGTGTGTTTGGTGGGTATAACTTTTTTTTTTATTAGTACTGTGTTTACAGCTGGGGTTCATTTTTACAGGTACTACAGGCATCATTCCCTCTAAAGCCCGTTGGGAAAAGAAACAAAAAGCGCGACTTCGGTCTGTAGCCTTCCAGGGCAAGAACAACAATGACGCTCGGGTTAGTAACTACTGTACAGTAATTATAATGTATAATACATGGCTATTGTATTTCTTCTATTTCTATTTCTTCAAGTTTTTTCTTGTAAGATAAATGATGTATAAAAGTCAATCATTGTTGTAGTAGAAACGTTTACAAGTTTCTTGTGTACGCTACTTCATAGATTAATTTATTTCCAGCAATCGACGCTAGAGAGGAAGAAGAAGACTTTATCATTCAGCCGAAAATTCCCGTTCCTGAATAAGAGTAAAGATGACAAGTCTGAAGATGGTTCAGACAATGAGCGTGAGTACCGGTTGTTGTATTCCAAACTGTGCATGGCCTTGTTGATTGGTTTTAATTTGATTTTTTTTTTTATCCAGTGGTCACTAGCAGGAAAAAATTCTGCACATTTTATGTCAAGCAGGTTCTATAACACTTCTACTCATTTCATGTTCTCTCTCAAGTTTATCTTGTATTAATACACCTAGTTCCGAGACTTGGTGTACTGTTCTCAGTGTACAAACACTGAAGGTTGCAAAAGTAATGGCATTTCTGAATATGTCTGATGTGTCTGAACTCAAGCCCTCAGGAGAGCGAATCCATTCTTAAAGGATATTTCACATTAAACGGTGCAATGTAAAATTAAATGAGGACACGTTTCAATGAAAGTTTCTCTCTCATACATACATATTCCTGGCTCACTGGTGGCAGCATGTCATGTATAGTACCTGTATAGTACTACAGACTCGGCTGCACTCCTCCCACCTACCACTTGGGCTGGACGGTAGAGCCACGGTCTCGCTTCATGCAGGTCGGCGTTCAATCCCTGACCGTCCAAGTGGTTGGGCACCATTCCTTTCCCCCGTCCCATCCCAAATCCTTATCCTGACCCCTTCCAAGTGCTATATAGTCATAATGGCTTGGTGCTTTCCCCCTGATAATTTCCTCCCTCCTCTCCTTCCACCTACAAAACACTGGAAAAAAAAATTATGCAGCACCCTTCAAGAGGCTGCGTCCCATGATAATACAATTGGCTTTTGCAACCCTTTGTGTTCATGTCTTACAAGTGATCTTAGGTGGTAAATAACACACCTTTGTAAAATTGTTTACTTTAAGTGTATTATAAGAGAAAAGAGGCGCCACTAAAGTCATTGCTTGTTAAATAATGATCAACTAGCTTGAAGTTGCTGTTGATAGAGACGTTTCGCCATGCATTAAAGGTAGGGAGTCTTAATTCTGTGATCAATATGGGAAAACTGAAACCTTTTTAAAGTCTGGTTAAGAAAGAATAGTTACCTACTTCTTATTTATCTCAATATTTTATATGATGATTGAGACAGGTGCATTCTCCACAGCAAACTTCTCATAATCATTGCTATTTTGATTAAATATATCGGGTATTTAACTTATCATGGTGACGTGTTGGAAATATTTTGTTTTATTTTGATACGTCAAAGAAATCACTATACATACAGTATAGCATTTAAAGTCTTATGAATTCAGAATTATTTCAAACCAGCTGGAGGCACTTAATGTGAATCATATAGTTAAGGTACTCAATATAGAAGCACACCACCAATATGGTGTGATGTTATTAATATATCTGATATTATTAAAACAAGCTATCATATCTAATATTAAAACAGTGAGACATATGATGGAAAGCATCTATCTCGTAAGTTTAACATGATCAAACAGATTGTGATGCTGTTTTTTGGTGATGTGGTCAGCATGTTGGGATTTTCCAACAAATATTATAAGAGGAATTTCAGACAACTCTGCAAACTATTCACACAGAACAGAGGAGTCACCCACACTACCTTGAAACTATTTAGTACAGCACTGATCACTTCAATCAGGCATCCTGGGCTCAAATTCACGAAAGCACTTACGAATGTGTACATCTTTCCTCAATCTTTGACGGCTTTGGTTACATTTATTAAACAGTTTACAAGCATGAAGACTTCCCATTCAACTGTTGTTATTGTTATAAACAGCCTCCTGGTGCTTCCGAGCTCATTAACTGTTTAATAATTGGAAACAAAGCCGTCAAAGATTGAGAAAAAAGATGTACAGGTTCGTAAGTGTTTGCGTAAGTGCTTTGGTGAATCTGGCTCCTGGCCCCTGCCATCAGCCGGGTCCCCATCTCAGTTCTGTTGTCGATTTTATGGTACTGCTACCTGTAGAGCTCCAGTTTGCCAGATGTGGGCAAGCTCCCTCTGCTTCAAGCAAAGTGCAGGAAATTTCTGGACATCATTCATTCTGCAAAGGTCATTTACTTGTTTGCGTATTTTAGTATTACCTTCATGAGTGTGTTTTCTCTCTGGACTTTCAGGATTGAACAGCTTCATTTCCTGTTTGACCTTCCGCATGAGCGCACTTTGGCCCAGATTCTCCTGCTGTTACTGGCTAGAACTTAGATGGTGTCTCTGGACCTACAAAATGCATATTTGCATGTCCCTATACATCTCAGGTTCAGAGACTGCTTGGATTTAGTTGTAGGACGTCAGGCTTACTGCTTTAGGGTTCTTTCCTTTGGCTTAAATCTGGGGAAATTTCTGAATCAAATTTTCCAGCTCGCTTCCAGGATAGCTGGAGGAAGTCCTAGTGGTTCCGTCCCAGGTTCACACTAGGCTAGGCCTACAAGACTGGGAATCACAGTTGGCTTCTCATTTCCTACCTCCTGTGGCTTTACTCCATCTGTAGCTTCATCACCATCAAGTGTCAGATCTGCCATGGGTGACTGCCAGTTGGTCGAGCAGTTGTGCGGGGGCCTGAACTTTGACTGCATGGTTTTCCTACCAGGCAAGGTTTGACTCTTGGCATTGTACTGGTTTCTCTTATTCCACCCATTCCTCTGTTCCTGGGACTGGTTGGATTGGGTCCCGCCTGTGCTACATCAGTTCTTGCTTTGCCAACTTAATCTTTTGGCCTTTTCAGGGTTTGGTTTTGTGGCATCATCCTCCTCTGTTTCTCAGTGTGTTCATGGATACCTCGGCTCCGTAAGCAGCCGCGTCTAACAGCCTGGTTGATCAGTCCAGCAACCAGGAGGCCTGGTCGACGACCGGGCCGCGGGGACACTAAGCCCCGGAAGCACCTCAAGGTAGCCTCAAGGTAGGTAGCTCTGGGTTGGGGTTTCGTGACCAGCACTCGCCAGGTCACCCAGGCTTAGTCGTTGTGTGTGCTTCTTTGGGTGCACAGTATGGTACTGTGCATGGTTTGTGGGGGTGTGTGGCATGCCCTGCAGTGGGATTGGCTTCCTCCAAGTCCTGTGCTTCACTCTGACTGCTTCCCTGTAGTTCATTGCCTGAACCAAAGGGGGGGGGGTCACTTTGGTCTATTGCCCTGTGGAGCAGAACACATTGGGTAGTTCGGCTTCTGGATTCTCAGGGTTTGGTTCTCTGCGTGCTTCACATGTAGGGTGTGTCCAACATTCTAATGGATAGGTTCTCACTTTTGTCCCTTTTCCACAGTGGACTAGTGATGACAGTTCCTTCATTAGCTCTGTGAGACAGTTGGTTACCCTCTTCGCATTGGCTTAGAACTACCTGGCTCTCCATCTTGGCTTCTCTCCTACATGGCTTCATTCTTCAAACATGAGGCTTTCACAGTGGTTGCTTTTCGACTGGACTGGTCTAGATAGAAAGATTTACCTTTCTTCCACAGTTCAGTTGTTGCTTTGGGCTCGGTCCTTTCTAGAGTTGTACTCAGGGGAAGGTGATCCTTCTGGGTCCTTGATGGCCAGCCAGCCTTGGTTTGCTGCATTTTTTTTATTCTATGTCAAATCCCAGGAATTTTCCCATGGCTCTGGCTCTTTCAGCCGATCGGCCTGAAGATGTATTTCCCTGGTTCGACCTCCTCTGCTCCACGTATCTGGAGTTTTGATGCTGGTCTGTTGCCATTTGTGTGGCTAGTGGCTGGTTAGTTTGTTGATTTCCCACTGCATCTTTCCTTACAGCAGCAGTATAAGGTTGCCTGGCACTCATTTTGCCATTATCTGTCCCTGTTGTCTTTCTTCGGTTTCGGTCATGGTCTTCCTGTCCTGTTTTTTCTTGGTTGTTGCTTGACTGGTATCTTATGCCTCTCGTCATTCAGTGTTGAGCAGAGCTGCTGTTGCTTGCGTTCTGTGTCAATTCCTTCATGATGGTGTTCTGTCCCACAAGTTGTCTTGTGTGTTTTTCACCTCCAACCAGCTGATGGTTCTCCTGAGCTATCCTAGTCTCTTGGCAGGGATTTGGTCTTTCTTTTGTCCCCTCGGTTTATGGTTTGCCCTTTGGCTCATGATATAATTCTCGAGGCTGTGTTTTTGTTGGATCTCCTTTCCGGCAGAAGGGATTGAAAGCTTCAGGCTCTTCTCAGAAGATGGGGATTCTGTTCTTTTGGTCTTAGTGGGCAGTTTGTTTGCAGCCCTCTTCTTTTTTCTGGTGAAAAGTAAGTCAGCTGGCTTCTGGAGGGGTCCTTTGATGATTGATGCTTGGTTGGTTCGGCCGGAGGTGCATCATTTGTCGTGTCCAGTGGCGGCTCATCACCAATACCTTTAGGCCACAGGTTCTGTCTTTGTGGACACTTAGTTGGTTAACCCCGTTTCCTTGGTGCCCATTTCCAAGGCTCATATCTCCTGGGTCATCTGCAGTGTCATTTAAGTCCAGCCACCTTGTGGTCCACTCCTCAGACTCAGGATGGAGATTTTAGTATTCTAACGAGTTCTGAGGACCCATTATTTAATGTTCCCTGTTGGCCTTGTGTTACTTCTGGGGTATGTCTCCCAGCTTGGGTTCTCTTTTTAAATTGTTGTACCTGCCACCTTTCCTCCTTCCTGGTAAGTCCCATTCTCATTCTCTGTAGTTGGTTAGCTAAACCTCCAAAAACATAACATAATGAAATGAATCGGCACTGGTAGAGTGCCGATTCATTTCAGTGTGCCGATCGGGAGGCTGATCACCTCAGGGAGGTGATCGGCCGGGTACAGCTAGTAATAAATAATAATACTAATTCATTGTGTCAGGGGAAAGGAAACCAGAGTATATTCAAACACGTTGTGGCTTATATGGCGAAGATGCACAGGTTTCGTAAGTGGTTGTATAAATGATTAATCCCGACCCTGGTTCATGGACGATGGTACCATATCTTGAGATGATTTCGGGGCTTTAGTGTCCCCGCGGCCCGGTCCTCGACCAGGCCTCCACCCCCAGGAAGCAGCCCGTGACAGCTGACTAACTCCCAGGTACCTATTTACTGCTAGGTAACAGGGGCATTCAGGGTGAAAGAAACTTTGCCCATTTGTTTCTGCCTCGTGCGGGAATCGAACCCGCGCCACAGAATTACGAGTCCTGCACGCTATCCACCAGGCTACGAGGCCCCTGGTGGCTCCCTGATTCCCTCCCTCCCTTCCAGGTTCGTCAGTTCTTTGATGGGTTGTTCATCAGCTTAAGAACTGAGATGGGGAGCTGGCTTATGGCAAGGGCCAAGCCACCAGGTGATGACAATCAGTACTAATGAGTTTTGAGCTAGATTGAGTGAATTGTTTCTGTGTGAATTGTTTGCAGAGTTGTTTGGTAGTTTTAAGGCTTCAATTTTTGTGAACCCTTCAGTTGTCTGTGAAGCTTCGCTGACTTTTAGATTCTCTCCTGGTAAGGTGGTGAATTGTCACTCATGGTCTGTGCCTCTGTGAGAGGGGAGGTGTTGGGGGGCCAGGTTCTGACGCTGGTCCTCAGTAGGCCAAACAGAACTTCCGCAATTGGTGTGATCCCATTAGCTTGGAGCAGTCTCGGCAAGATAACTTCTGGGAGCTACTGGAGCTCTACCAGAAATAGGCATTTCATTACATTCAATGGTGGGCTATTTCATCGATGCTATTGTGAAAGACTGCCACATAGTATAGAGCAATGCTCGTAGTGTCCCGTCTTCTCAGTATTGTTATGTAACTCGTTTGAAACTACAGTACTGACAGTTTTGGACTCCACCACCTCACTTGTCTAAAGTTAAAACCATCTACCACTGTGTGTATCCGTTCTTGTGTTCTCAATGCTGGGTCACAGATTATGTTACCAATTAATGTGGAAAGAGATGAGGTATTTAATGCACCCTGGCCTTGAAACCATGCTGTTGCTTTTAATCTGATATAACGATCTTTAAAGATTATCCTCATTTGTATGGAGTAAAAGTAGAATTTTGAGGTTTCAGTTTTCCCAGTGGCTTTCTGCCTTTCCAGTGGTGTTGTCATTAGCTTTGAATGCTTTCAGTATGCATTTCAGTATTGTACTCGACTAGTAAATGGTTCTACATGCAACATGTGTTGGACATTTTTATAACCACCTGTAGAGGGACATCTCCAGGATGGACACAGCATCATCATGCAGGCGATGAGTCACAATAACGTGGCTAAAGTAAGTTGACCAGACCACACACTAGAAGGTGAAGGTACGACGACGTTTCGGTCCGTCCTGGACCATTCTCGATTGTGAAACGTCGTCGTACCTTCACCTTCTAGTGTGTACCTTCACACTAGAAGGTGAAGGTACGACGATGTTTCGGTCCGTCCTGGACCATTCTCGATTGTGAAATGTCGTCTTACCTTCACCTTCTAGTGTGTACCTTCACACTAGAAGGTGAAGGTACGACGACGTTTCGGTCCGTCCTGGACCATTCTCGATTGTGAAACGTCGTCGTACCTTCACCATCTAGTGTGTACCTTCACACTAGAAGGTGAAGGTACGATGACGTTTCGGTCCGTCCTGGACCATTCTCGATTGTGAAACGTCGTCGTACCTTCACCATCTAGTGTGTGGTCTGGTCAACAGCATCATCATATTTTTAGGACAGACAAATTGAGGGGTTTGGCAGTTTATCACTGATTTTTAAGACTATTACCCCCTGTTTGTCTTATGTGCTCAATATATATTTTTGGCATTCAAAGTATTTGCTTCACGAGTGTCCCCATTCCAATGTTGACAATTATCACGTTTCCTGCTATTCTATTGTTTCTAAATTGTAATATTTCTGTATGTATCGTATGTTCTGTTCATGAGATTAAAAATGTGATGTAATTGATGTTACAACACAAATTATCATGTTTTTTGACCTGTTATTTTTGTGAGATCTATTGTGTTGACATCCTGATAAGGCTGTTAATGTCCCCCTACATGTTTACTGCCAGTGTTTACAAAAGTGCAAACAAATTTATTTTTTGTTTACAAGTAAAATGCATTTATTACAAGGTCTTTAGAAATGCTGAGCTGTTACAGATATATTTATCTAGTTCAGTATAAAGAAAATGCGAGATTGAAGCAAAATAAGTTACTGTATATACAGTATAGTACTGTATTGTACAGCACTGAGAGGTGTACTCCACTTCTCGGAGTTTAAAAATAGTGAGCTTACTTGAGTTTTGAACTATGTTCATGGCTAATATATACTACAGTAGTTAGTTGGTCAGTAGGGTATTGTGGTGGTCTTAATAACCCGCCAGAGGTTTTGTCAAGCCTGGCCTCGGGCTGCGCTCAGGAAGTAGAATAACTCTTAAAACCCTCTCCAGGTATGATCCAGGTAATTCCTTAAGCCCAACTACAAATCAAACATTGTCCATGTAGGTTTGCCATTAAATTATCTTTTCATTTAAATAATGGAACTTTAATCAGTAAAAGTATTGTAATTAGATACTGAACTATAGGTACAGTACCCTAAGCTGATGAGCAAAATCTTCAGTTCTAGATGGTATCAGATTCATACTTTACTATATTTAACCAGTTACATTGAAGATGTTACTTTGCAAAGGATTACTTTAAGTTTATATGCAGGCGATGAGTCACAATAACGTGGCTGAAGTATGTTGACCAGACCACACACTAGAAGGTGAAGGGACGACGACGTTTCGGTCCGTCTTGGACCATTCTCGATTGTGAAACGTCGGCGTACCTTCACCTTCTAGTGTGTACCTTCACACTAGAAGGTGAAGGTACAACGATGTTTCAGTCCGTCCTGGACCATTCTCAAATCAACTTGAGAATGGTCCAGGACGGATCGAAACGTCGTCGTCCCATCACCTTCTAGTGTGTGGTCTGGTCAACATATTTAAGTTCATACTTAGCTTATGGGGAATCGTTAATTACACTTTTAAATCGTGTATAATGGATTTCAGGTATGTTTTTCTGTTTTATTAATTATAATTTGCATGTATACATAATTAACAATTGTGTGCATATACAAACATTTAATTTTAGCATCTAACATTTTCATTACAATATCTATTGGCAACTCAGCATTTAAAGCCATTATGGAAATGTATTAATAATGCATCTTTTGTGAACATTTTGTGTTTAGAAAAAAAAAAAAGAATTGATCACCTAGATAGTTAATGTGATTGGTTGTCGAACTCAAATTATTTGATGTAATTGGAGCTGGGTGACCAGTCATTAAACTGTTGGTTTGAGCAAGACTTCATTTTGTCCATTACGCTCATTGTTTCTGTGTGCGAAGAATAACACTTGCTCTTTTTACATCATTTCCCAAAGTCGATGAGGACTTTGAAGGTAAGAGTTTTCCCCTCACTCTGTTTCGTGTATGGTCTTTTTATTTTCAATATTTTTTCCTGCGAATTTGTACATTGTATGTTGTAGCTTTGCAAAATGGATGTGTTTATACATTTGAATGACTTTGGCCAATTAGCTGTTCAGTATGTTTTTCACTTTTAAATTTGCAAGAGAAATTCAAACCAAATTGGTTGCTTACCTCAATCCATTTCAATAGTCATGCCAGATGCTGTCATCGGTGCAAATGTTTTTCATTGGCTGGGGGGGCCTGATATTGTTCTTAAGTGGTGGGTTAGCGTATGTTTATTTTTTAAATGGTGGGTTACCCTATGCCTATGTTTTGCCTGGGTTAATGTGATGTTCAGAAGGAATGCTATTTTCAGTACAAATTTTCTTGAACAGCATTCTGCAGCTGTGGTTTGTTATGCCAGCTAACTAAAACCTACTGAATCAGTTTGCATGATTTGCTTAAGAACCTGTCACAAGATTTGCTTGAACGTGTCCAGAATTCCATATCCTCGTTAATTTATTTTGCACCCGCTTCCTATATTGATTAGTATGAAAATAGATTTTTGTGCTGCTTATGAAAATTCCTTTTCTGTGGCGTACACTTTGGGGTTCACTAAAGCATGATCTAACTGACCTCTGGGTAGAATCTGCCGCAGTAGGGACGGGTTACGTTGTACTCCGGTGCAGTGGACAACCTTACAAACATGCCCATTGTGTTGTACTGGTCCTAGAGAGACTGAAGTATACTTAGTCTAGCCTAAAAGATGAACAGGAAAGTACTTTATATTAAAAAAACTTTCCAAGCACAACTTGGCAAGTTGCTCCTGATTAATTACTGAAGAACTAAATAAGTCACTCTCTGCAACCAAGTGGCAGGTTGCTAGCCACTGCCGGAGGCAGAACCCAGTGAAGGAAAGTGCTGGGGGGCAGAACAGATGACTTTTGACGTTAAAAAACAAAAAACCTTCGAATTCACTAAACTGCACTAAACTGCACTAACTGCCATTGTCAACAAAATGGAGACTTAAAGCATAATGAAAAGGAGACCGGACAACCATGGCTCGAGTTCCACGTAAACCCTAAGCCCCGTCCAACGAGAGAACAAGAACAAGTGAGAGACGATCTTACCTGTACAGTAGAGAAAAAACAAAGCCACAAAATCTCTGCCCAGTAGTGATCTGGTGTGAACAAACTTTGCTTTACAACCATAGATTGATGAAGATAAAACTATGCAAAACTTGGAAATGTACTACTAAATTAAAGGGCATGAAGTGGCTAATGTAGAGGAAAAATCCAGAGGTGTACTGCTAGTACACCTCTGAACTGGTACAAGGCAGGTCAGACATTAAAATTAGCTATGCTTGGCAGAAAAGTATCTAGGAACTGCTAATGTAGTAGGAAACTGAAGTTTAGAATTACAATTGCTTGAAGGATGAAGTAAACGGAACAGACGTAAAGAAAATAACTCTGGTCAGTTGATGGTTGAAGTCAAGACACACATTGTACATAGAAAGCAATCCACTAATGTAACATGTACCCATTATACAAAAGAAGCAAATTTTGTAACGATAATACAGAACTCTTTATTGAAAGGACGGAATGTAAAGAGGGCGGGATGAAGAGCTTAATCATGGTATCTGCACTTGCATTTGGCTGTGGTTGGAGGTACACCAGTAAACTAAAGAAATATTTAGTAGTTTGCCGAGGCATAATTTGGAGACATGTTTTTTTTTCAACTTGCACCTATGTAAAGGCTTTAATTTAATGTAAAACACCTTTCAATATACAGTCTGGGCTGGTTTGATTATTCTCCAGTGTCTCCTTTATACCCGTAGTTTTCTCTAAAAACAATTTGAAATGCACTGTTGCATCGATGTGAACAGTTGGCCTGCCCTGATGGTGGCAGATTTTAAGCAGAAGTTAGTAGAATCGACCTTTTAAAGGGCAACTATGTGGCAATATCTCAGAGGAGTGAAATTGGCTTGTGTTTAAGCTGTGTGTCCTTTATAATATGCATGACTTCAGGCTAACTCATACATTATTTATGTATAGTATTTGCATTGATACATATTTGTTATAGAAAACTGATATTCTTAATCCTCTCCTTTCTTAAACTAAACATGTAAGTAGAATTCCAACAAAACAAGTTTTTTAAACAATTATTATCCATAAGTATTGTAGTTAAGAATTTGATTAATTAGTTAAGAGTTAGAATAAGAATGGGGGTGTGTGTAGAGCCTTTATAAATGGAATTTTATTATGATAATACATATTCAAATACACACCTTGTATAATGTACAGTATTAATTATTTTGCAAGTGTACTGCTGCTGTATGTAAATACTATATAGTCGAGCTCACTTGTCTTTCAATGATTAACACACGATTTTCTAACGGTATAAACTCTGGTTGATTATCAGGGATTATCAGGGTTGATTATCAGGGAGGGGTACTTTGGTGGAATGGTTAGCAGTAGTAGTAGTAGTAATAATTAATACAGTAATAATAATAATAATAATAATTCATAAATCACACTAGCGTGATATATATCAGAGAAAATCCACTGGGGCTGTGAGGTGACACGAACCTGCGACCAAGGCATTGCCAGCCACATACTCTACCACTGTACCATCATTCACTGGTTAAAGTCATACAACAGGATTTCTACTGAAATCCAATACAGTACATACTGACAATGCTTTGGTTGTGGATTTGTGGCGTCTCGCAGACCTAGTGGATTTTCAATAATAATAATAGGTTAAAGTGGTTTACATAGTGAGCCAAGTAATTTGATATTACTGTATATAAAGCACTGGTTACGTACAGCGTTTCAGGCATAACTTATAAAAATAACAAAATAAATTTGTTAGTTTTTATATTGTCCTGACAGTGCTTCCAGTACACTGTTTTCTGTATATACTGGTGTGCTTCTCTTAAGCTGGCAATATTAGCAATCTATAGTTAGTTATTTTCTAGTAGTATAATCTTGCAGGGAATTGCACGTAGTAATCTATGCACTCGGAACCTAGTGTACAAATATGCTGTACAATGTCGTATATTGAAAACTATGGGCATTAATATTGTTTATGCAGTTAATACCTATGCCCAAAAGACATATCACCTATATATGCTCCAAAAATATAATGTTGCCCTGATACGCTTAAAACATAGTCACCCCTTACACGCTCAAAACATACCAAGTTATTTATTATACTGTATTAGTTATGTTTGAGGTGTAGGCTTCTTTGTCAGAAATATTTCGTGGAATAATACTATCGATATCTATACAAACCTTTCTTTGTCTGAGGATGGAGGGCGGATGCTTGAGGGCTAGCCTCATCGAACTTTGCCAGTGGATTGGGTTAAGGTGAGATGGAGAAAGGGTGAAAAAAGTGGGGGGAAAAAAGAAGAGACCCAGGTGCAGCCAGGTTACCCATATTTCATATACCGTGTGTATATATATATATACTGTATACACACACATGAATGTGCTCCCTCTCTCAAACACAGAGTGAGAGAGAGAGAGAGGAAGACTTCTGATGTGGATGAAATATTTTCTAACAGAAAGATTAGAGCGGTAATCAGAGGCAATGTATCTGGCTGAAGGAGTGTTACCAGTGGTGTACCGCAGGGTTCAGTTGTTGCACCAGTAATGTTCTTGATAAATGATCTACCAGAAGGAATAGCAAAGTGCACGAACATGTTTGCAGATGATGCTAAAATATTGTGGAATATAGGAGACTCGGACGATTGTCATGCCCTTGAAATTTATCTAGATAAAATAAGTGCTTGGAGCGACATGTGGCAAATGAAATTCAATGTGAATAAATGCCATGTTATGGAATGTGGAGTTGTAGAAAATAGACCACATACAACTTACAAATTATGTAGAAAAGAATTGAAGAACTTGAACAAAGAAACACTGTGAGGGGAGAAGTATGCGTCGTTCTCCATGTTCAGACTCTCTTTTAATAACATGGATGGTGAAATACTAACACTGTTCATGACTTTTGTGAGACCAAAATTTGAATTTGTAGCAGTTAAATTGTGCTCATATCTCAAGAAGCACATCAATAAACTGGAATAGTTGCAAAGGCATGCTACAAAATGGCTCCCAGAACTGAAAAACAAGAGTTGAGGAGAAGCTAGAAGCATTAAATATGCCAAAACTAAAAGATAGAAGAGAGATGATATGATCACCACTTTACAAAATAATTACAAGAATTGACCAATTTGACAGAGGAATTCCTGAAATCAGCAACTTCAAGAAGAGGAGGTGACAGATTCAAGCTAAGAAAACAAAGGTTCCAAAAAAATATTAGAAAAGTTTTCTTTTGCAAACAGTGGTAAATGGGTCGAACCAGTTAAGAAAGAAGGTGGTGGTGGCCAAAAGCATTGGTAGTTTCAAAGCGTTATACGACAGTACTGCAGAGATGGGACACTACGAGTGTAGCTCTCATCCTGTCACTAGTAGTAGTAGGCATCCATCAGTCTTGGGAGACTATGGAGGTGTGCTCTGGATGTTGGTCCAGAATGGCCTCTCCAGGGCACAAAGCCAGGGTAGGTTGATACATGGGAGAAGTTGTCACCCATTCAGCAGGTTCCCTTATCACGACGTCAAAAGAGTCCCCACACTTAGGTAATTACATGCGCACACTCACTCACTCACTCTTGCACACACACACTCACTGTTTCTCTCTCTTACTCGTTAATGTAATTGCTGTTAGTCATATCCTATATGACCCACAATATAAGTGAACCTTGGTTTGGATTATATTTGTATGCAAATCTGTTGCTTCACATCCACCTGCAGAAGGTGGTGGTGGTGGTTTCATGTCCAAAAGCTTGCTCAGTTTGCATGGTGTTGCCCTAGACGAGTTTGCCCTGTTGATGGTGTGTCTCTCTTTACAGCCTCCATAGCAACAAATGACGGAGAGAGCGATACCCGAAGCATGAGTGAGTATTCCCCCTTTTTTGCTGTGTAGGCCTTGCCGATATTGTTATGTATTCCGTGTGTGGTGTGATATTTTCCCTTTTGAAGCTCAGCAGGAGTATGTTACATCTAATTCTAGATGTAATCTAATTGTAGATGTAAGGGATATACAATTCCCTTCGATTAGAATAAGGGATTCTAGATGTAGTTAACGCTTCCATTTTCCTATATTTGTATTAAATATTTAATAACACTAGCTGTAACTACTCTGCTGGGCTAGAAAAGTATGTAAGGACGTGCATGCAGCTGTGACACGTTTACAAGCATTTAAGACGCCATTCGGAAAACGTGCAACAAATGCAGGAAGTGTAAAGTTCACTATACAGTAATAGTTAATTTTCGTATTGGATCTCCTTATATTCATCCTGATAGATGATGATAATAAATATTCATTTCTTATTGTATACTGTATGTGCATGTATTTTTTACAATTTCAATTTCCTATTGTATCACTGTTCATATTGTATGGCACCATGCTGTTTTAATGTCATCACCACACCCATCAGAACCCCTTTTAAATTTTTACGCAACAATTTCAAACATCTTCGATTATGATACCCAGTTTACGGATATGTGCCGAGAACGTCCATCATTGTGTCGCATGGTGGAGGAATTAAAGCAATTGCTTAATTCATAGCTAGGAACTTGTTGGTAGGTAGTCAAGAGGCATCAGTTGTAAGGAAATGTGCCCAAATGTCTCGTCCTTCTTCCTTGAACCATTCATTTCTGATCTGTCTTGATGAGAGAGGGGAAGAGGTTCAACATGAGAGATAAGGGGGTCAACATGAGAGAGGGGGGGGGGGGATCAACATGAGAGAGGGGGGGGGGGGGATCAACATGAGAGATAGGGGGGTCAACATGAGAGGGAGGGGGGGCCAACAGGAGGGATAGGGGGGTCAACAGGAGAGATAAGGGGGTCAACAGGAGAGATAAGGGGGTCAACATGAGAGATAAGGGGGTCAACATGAGAGATAGGGGGGTCAACATGAGAGATAGGGGGGCCAACATGAGAGATAGGGGGGTCAACAGGAGAGATAAGGGGGTCAACAGGAGAGATAAGGGGGTCAACAGGAGAGAGGGGGGGGGGAGAGATCAACAGGAGAGATAGGGGGGCCAACAGGAGAGATAGGGGGGTCAACAGGAGAGATAGGGGGGTCAACAGGAGAGATAGGGGGGTCAACAGGAGAGATAGGGGGGTCAACAGGAGAGATAGGAGGGGGGGGGGTCAACAGGAGAGATAAGGGGGTCAACAGGAGAGATAGGGGGTCAACATGAGAGATAAGGGGGGGGCCAACATGAGAGATAAGGGGGTCAACAGGAGAGATAAGGGGGGTCAACATGAGAGAGGGATGAGGTTCAACATGAGAGATATTGGGGAGCCAACATGAATACAGTACAGTACATATATCCTTATGAACTGACTCGTGACATTCAAGAAACTGGAAGAATGGATGGAAATGTCGGGAGTTTGAACTTAGGGTTCTTTTCCCTTTGCTGTCTTGCATTGTTTTCCTCATTAATTTTTCTCAAGCTCTTTTTTTTATGAGTTTGATTGGCTTTCCGTGCTGTTTGAGTCACTTTCTAATCTCTTTTACCTTCACCTCATTGAGTTAACCAATATGCATTGAAAAGTCATGGATGTCCTGGACAAGCTGAAGGCTTAGCTATATCAGTGATTAAGATCTGGTAAGGCTGGCCTACGTCAGGCTGCAAGCAGCCGCGTCCAACAGCCTGGTTGATCAGTCCAGCAACCAGGAGGCCTGGTCGACGACCAGGCCGCGAGGACGCTAAGCCCCGGAAGCACCTCAAGGTAACCTCAAGGTAAGGTAAGGTTTGGTAAAGGGGCCTGACAGCCGAGTGGACAGCACTCGGGATTCGTAGTCCTGAGGTTCCGGGTTCGATCCCCGGTGGAAGCGGAAACAAATGGGCAGAGTTTGTTTCACCCTGATGTCCCTGTTCACCTAGCAGTAAATAGGTACCTGGAAGTTACAGCTACTATGGGCTGCTTCATGGGGGTGTGTACCATAAAGGAGGCCTGGTCGAGGACCGGGCTGCGGGGACGCTAAGCCCCGAAATCATCTGGAAATAACCTCAAGAGGAGGTGGTACTGAGAAGCCAACCCTTGTTGAACCATTTGATGTCCTCCAGGTTCTGTTTTAACCTTTTCTTGTCTTCCTTTGTGTGGTTCTCTCTTCTTAGTGGTCACAATTTGTCTTGTTTTTTTTATTTCCTGTAATTTCTGAGCACTCCATCTGTTGTGTGTGTGTGGAGGGAGCAGCTGGCACTCTTATTATTGTTGATGCAATACATCAACTTTGACTTTATCTCTAAATGAATCATCAAATGCATTAATATCTCGGCTACAAATAGTGTAAATATTAGTCATTATATTAATTTAGTAAAATTAATTTATTCCAACTTATTTTTAAAAACACAGTACAGTACTCTAATTTTAATGGAGGGTATTTTTGTTTAAGCATTTTACATTAATTTTTATAATACTATACTGTACATTTTGGCATTGGTATAAATCCAACATAATTGTCTCATAATTTCAGGAGGAGACGACTACATAATCTTGAGTTATGAGGGCGTACAGCAGACAGAAATCTCGTACACTCGACCGGTAGTTCTTCTGGGTCCCCTTAAGGACAGAATTAATGATGATCTTATATCAGAGTTCCCCGACAAATTTGGCAGCTGTGTCCCCCGTAAGTATTTGAATATACTGTACCTATTTGTTTTGTGTACAATACAGTACAGTCTAAACTGTTTGTAAGTACAGTCTCTCGATAGGTAGTTGTTTGTAGGGAGGGTTGGGTGATTTTGAAAGGTTCTCGAGTGTCATGGCAGTCATACTTCGGTGGGGCTTTTGAGTGTGTGTGTGTGTCTCCCGTGAGCTCCGGGCTTCATTTTTAAAGGAGGTAAGGTGGCTTATAAGGCATCTCGTGTCTCTGGGGTTAAGACTCGCTTGGAGCATAGCAATTTGTGAACTGTTTGTCCTGCTTCATTTGTTAATATACACCTGTATCATAAAGATGGAGTGAAATTAATCATGCCTAAAATTTGACCAGATACTACCCGGCCACGACGAGAATACGAAGTTGATGGACGGGACTATCATTTTGTAGCCTCAAGGGAACAAATGGAACGTGATATTCAGAACCATCTATTCATTGAAGCTGGGCAGTATAATGACAATCTTTATGGAACATCTGTTGCGTCTGTCAAAGAGGTGGCCGAGAAGGTAAGGGCAAAGAAAGGGAAAATCTAAACAAAGTTAATAATTTAATTATAATTATATACAGTATACATATGTGAGTATGGGTAATATAAATGGATTTGTTTATGTATGGATATTACTGTTTGTTCTTGGTAAAATATAAACTAATGCTGTAATAATGAACTGACCGCAAGACAGGTTAACAATCTGTATCTGCACCAGGGAACTTTTCAAACTGTCTCTAATACGTTACTCCGATGCTGGGGAGAGAGACAGGAGAATAGTACTACTAAATCCAGCCTAGGGGTGACTGGCAGTAAGCCAATTGTAAAATTCAAAGTTCTTCCAAGCCCTCATAGGCAATCCATGGACCTCCAATGAGCATTGTTGCTGCAACAAGAGAATAGTATAACAGAAGAACAGGTCTAGACACGGCGACACCCAGTCTATCGGTAGAAATGAGAATCCACACCTTCTAATGGGTGTTACTGTAACAGCAATTGCTAGGTCAGGTCAGGAGCTCATGCGATAACAGCATTGTCAGCCTTACTAAGCTGCTTGAGAGTGCTAGTCAGGATAAAAAGATAACGCAAGACATCACTCAACTCTCAGGAGCTGTATAAAAGCTTGAAGGATAGATAGAGGAGGCATTGAGAACTGGAGTGTGCGTTGCACTGATTTGTAAAGGTTGAACATTATTGCCTCATGCAGAGTGGAGTTCAATGTGTGTGTTGTAAATACCTGTACAGCACTGTACTAATCTCTTGCTACTGCTGCTTATCAAGTTCTATTGGCTCAAGTAAGAAAATATTGTTAGGCTATCACAGTTCAGTTAATTCAGTACACAATTAGTTTTAAACTTCAACTCCTTTTTTTGTTTGAAGCATTTATCTGAATTATGATTGGTTGACCTTCAGCAACTAGACGAGTCCTTTGTTCTCGTTGCCCTAATTGTCATTTACGTATTCCCGAGTGAGTCAAGGTCATTTAATCATTCGTTAACCCTTGGGCCGCTAGGGGTCCAAATGGCTTCAACACTCACAGGCGCAACAACAAAAATCCCAAAAATTTATTTTTCTTTTTAATCTCTTTATTTGTGTTCCCTGAGCACGGGAAAAATAATAAAAAAATTAATTGTACAGTACTTATCAATGACGTAAATGAGCCGAGAAGTTGGCCGATGACGTCACGATTCATCTTCGCTGGAGCGCTGTGCACCCGGGCTGAGTCAGGCGCGACGGAGAAGGACCCCGAGTTGACACGAATTTATTTTCGCGGTATTATTTACAGTATCTATGGTATTTTTACACCCAGTTATTTCACTGGTGTGGCATAAACATTTTCTTGGTCCACTTCACTGTTTTCCGTACACACACTACTGCTCCCACCATCATATCACATTTCTCCACCAAACGCATGTTGATGTTACAGTCCAAGACACAATCTGGCTTACAGATTATTTGTTTTGTTGTTCTGTTCACCTTGCCACTGTCCAACATTGTACCATTGTGAATGGTGGTCAACATGTTCACTTTACGCCTGTCTTTCCACTGCACTGAAAGTATTGCACCTGTTTTTCTTAGCTCACAATCACCAACCTGCACCAACCTTTGTTCCACTGTTTGGTACCTTGAGTTTGGAGATTCTTTTATTTGTCAGAGGATTTGTATATCTTGAGGTTATCTTGAGATGATTTCGGGGCTTTTTTTTAGTGTCCCCGCGGCCCGGTCCTCGACCAGGCCTCCACCCCCAGGAAGCAGCCCTTGACAGCTGACTAACACCCAGGTACCTATTTTACTGGTAGGTAACAGGGGCATAGGGTGAAAGAAACTCTGCCCATTGTTTCTCGCTGGCACCTGGGATCGAACCCAGGACCACAGGATCACAAGTCCAGCGTGCTGTCTGCTCGGCCGACCGGCTCCCTATCTTGTGGTCAGTTGAAGTAACTAGTAGCAGCAATTTGGGAAGAGGTTCATTGAATGTTTTCAAGTAACTCATTGGTGTCTGGATAGGCTTACAATTTTTGTATTATTAATTTATGATTTATTACTGTTTATTATTACAATTTATTATTTTTGTGTCTTGCCGTAATTTTAGTATGACCTGGAAGGGACAGTTTGAAAAGATCATCCCTAGTGCACCGATACAGATTGTAACGTGTCCTGGGGTAAGGATGCTGTTTTCTTTCCTGTTACAAACAATAAAGTTAATTGCTTTGAAAAGTGACTTTGAGTTTACTCGATCTGATTTATTAAGATTTTCCAGGTATTCTTGTTTTTTGGATGATTGAAATAATTAGGTGGTTTATTGCAAACGATGAGTCACAATAACGGGGCTGAAGATACGAAGATTAAACCACACATCAGAAGATGAGGAGACGACGACATTTTGGTCCATTCTGGACCATTATCACGTCGAGTGTCTTGATAATGGTCCATGACGGACCGAAACGTCGTCATCTCCTCATCTTCTGGTGTGTGGTTTAGTCTTAATAGGTGATTTATTGTGTTTAATTGCATAAAATCCTTTCACGTTTTACAGGTTTCAGAAAATGTTTAATTTATAAAGTGTTTTGATCACAGGTATGTTATGTAATGTGTAGTTATTTAGGTATAAATGTTTACTACTTTGTATGACTTTGATTTTTAACAAAAATATGAATAATGATGATGTAATTCTAGGGTAAGCATTGTATCCTTGATGTAAGCGGGAATGCCATCAAGAGACTTCAAGTTGCGCAGCTCTACCCTATTGCTATTTTCATCAAACCGAAGTCAGCTGAACAAATTATGTAAGTATAATTGGAAGATGGAAGAGAAAAAAAATAGTTTGTATATAGTGCATTGTATGGCAATTTATATTTTGAGTTAATTTTGTTGACTTTATACTTTTAAGAACACGCAGAGAATTCATAATAACATGATACGTATAGCAGTGAACAAATTCACAAGGGCCGTGATTAGGGTTCAAACCTATTCGATTATGGCTCGACTCTCACAAGTCGAGCCTGGCCTCAGGCCGGGCTTGGGGAGTAGAAGAACTCCCAGAAACCCATCAAGCAGGTATGGGTTTGAATCCTCATCAAGGCCCTTGAGAATTTGTTCCTTGATATATTAGGTTATTGTGAATTCTTTGTGTATTGAAGTAGGGGCATCAGAGGTAGAACTATTTAGTTGGCAGAGCCCGAGTGCATAAGGGAATTGTGTAAAACCCCGGTTCGGCTTCAGTGGAAGCCTCGGGGTCCTTGTGGGGGCACTAGCACTCCAGGTTGTAATTCTTATATAGTGTCTTGTACGGTGTCGTGGTACAGCCCTGGAAACAAACCGAAACTGTCTCTATTTTCCGCTTGTTACAACTTGCAATAAAGTTGTTACATCTTGGCTTAACGTGTTTATGATGTGCAGGCGATGAGTCACAATAACGTGGCTAAAGTATGTTGACCAGACCACACACTAGAAGGTGAAGGGACGACGACGTTTCGGTTCGTCCTGGATCATTCTCAAATCGATTGTATTCCCACTCTCACAATCGACTTAAGTCCAGGATGGACCGAAACGTTGTCGTCCCTTCACCTTCAAATGTGTGGTCTGGTCAACGTGTATATGACATATTAGAACGTTGTTACAACTTGCTATATTGGTTATTGGGGAGTAGAAGAACTCCCAGAACCCCATCAACCAGGTATCAACCAGGTTGTTATAACTGGTTAGGAGGTGTTAAAACTTGTTCGAACGTTGTACCAACGTCGTAGGTTCGGTGTGTGTTTGGCGGGAGTTGACTAGAGTGCGTCTGGGAACATCCAGCGCATAGGTTTGAACCCACATTAACCCTTAACATGCTCGGGGTTTAATATCCTGCCATCCCCACAGGCGCATGTCATTTTGAAAAAAAAAAAAAAAAATTTTTCTTTCTAACCTGTTAATTTGTGTTCATTGATCACGGGAAAAATAATAAAAAAATCGTAAGTGGCATATATTGCCCGCTATAGGGCGGGGAGGTCTGGCAAATTATAAGCACTAACTCAGCGTGCGTCCCAGGCGGTCTGTTGCTCGCAAGCTGTCAGGCCAGAGTTGCCACAAAGAGATAATTACCGAATTATTTCAATGTCTCTGATTGATTTTTCATACTTTTTTTGCTGTAATATTATTCAATAGTGTGTAGTTTGATATATTTATATAATAAAATAAGTGAATCATTGCTGTACTCTAAAATATGGTGTGCATATTGTTGATTCAATTATGTTCATCAATCAGTGAACAAATACTTTGTCGGTTATTACACTATAAGCACAGGTTATATATAAGTATTTGCATGTTTTGTTCACTATAATGAACCACTAAGTAGCTATTATGAGTCAAAAAGTAATGAGGAGTGACCGCCGTGTACCAGCCAGCCACTCCCGCCCTCCCTCCAGTCATCTGACTCACCCTCATTCTCCTCCCACAATAATGTTTTTGCTATAATTCACTATATACAGACGTTATATATAAGTATCTACATGTTTTGTTCACCATAACTGTACATCTAAGCTTGTATGGTGAGTGAAGGCACAGTGATGTGGCTACTCACACAGTCAGCTGATCGGCGGCTGCCCTCAAGGCCAGACGCACTAATATTTCTCCTCTAACAATACTGTGTGGTGTTATTACGCTATATACTCACATTATATATCAATATCTACCTGTTTTATTCATCATACTTATACAAATAAACTGGTATGGTGCCCAAAGACCATTGTGGTAACCAGTAAACAACACCGTCGTCTGCACGGTGGCGTCGTGCAGACGACGCCACCGCCCTCACCAATATGGCGGCTCCAAACCTTCTCTTGCTGTTTATACCCTCTATACGCACGTTATATATAAGTATCTACATTTGTGTTCACCATAGCGAACCACTAAGCTGGTATGGTGAGTGCAGTCAATAAAAGGTGGCCACACACAGTCAAAAGACATCGCCACCACCCTCCCTCTCACAGCATTACACCTCCTTCCATGGCGCACAGCGCTAAATATCACCACAATCCTGCTATTATCAGAACCCTGGTCAGTTTTATCACAGTCAGGGGTCTTCTGTAATAATATCATCGCTACATAATAGCATGAACAAGTATAATTTGGCATTTTTAGACGATGCTGTGGTCACAAGCTGAACAGCAGTGCTGTTAGCTCATGCTGCGTGCGTCAGGCTTGGTTGCTCACTCAATACTGAGGCCAATAACACCCGGGAGATTGGCCCACAATTTAAAAAAAAAATGGCGTCTGTTTACAAGAGCCCTGATGAAGGTGTGGTGAACCCCGTGTATCCGCGGGCTGTTTAAATCTTGCGTAGTACTCCAACACATCATATGACGTGATGCGCAGTTTACTGGAACAACGTCCAGCACGTCATATGACGTGATGCGCACTTTAAGGGTTAAGGCCCTTGTTCATTTGTTAAGAATGTCATTTAACTATGTTGTTACCTTTGATATGCTCCCCCAAGATGGCTGTCATGAGTATTTTTTGTCTTTTGTAATAGTATTCAAATATTTGAATCACACCTTTCCAAGTTTAAAAGTGTTCTCTGTAGGATTATGCAGAATGGACAGTAGTACCAGCAGTAAGTCAGCATCTATCATTGATCGGGAGAGTGGAATAGTATGTTAAATGTGTGCGTGTGTGTACTTAATTGTACTTATCTAGTTGTGCTTGTGGGGGTTGAGTCTTGTCTACACTTGAAGCTGTGTATGGAGTCAGCCTCCTACACATCACTTTCTAATGCATTCCATTTGTCTACTACTCTAGCACTGAAAAAAAAATCTAACGTCTCTATGGCTCATTTGGGCACTCAGTTTCCACCTGTGTCCCCTAGTGCGTGTGGCCCTTGTGTTAAATAGTCTGTCTTTGTCTACCCTATCAATTCCTCTGAGAATCTTGTATGTGGTGATCATATCCCTTCTAACTCTTCTGTCTCCCAGTGACGTGAGGTTTAATTCCCGTAGTCTCTCCTCGTAGCTCATACCCCTCAGTTCGGGTACTAGTCTGGTGGCAAACCTTTGAACCTTTTCCAGTTTAGTCTTATGCTCGACTAGATATGGACTCCATGCTGGAGCCGTATACTCCAGGATTGGTCTGACATATGTGGTATAGAAAGTTCTGAAAGATTCCTTACACAAGTTTCTAAAGGCCGTCCTTATGTTAGCCAACCTGGTATATGCCACTGATGTTATCCTCTTGATATGGGCTTCAGGGGACAGGTCTGGCGTGATATCAACCCCCAGGTCTTTCTCTCTCTGACTCTTGAAGTATTTCATCTCCCAAATGATACCTTGTATCTGGTCTCCTGCTCCCTACACCTATGAACAAATCCATAAGGGCCGTGACGAGGATTCAAACCTACGTCCAAGATCATTCCTACACCTGTCTTCCTACATACCTACACCTATTATAGGTCCCTACACCTATCTTCATTACATTACATTTGCTTGGGTTAAACTCTTAACAACTATTTATTTGACCATTTGTCTTCTTGAAGCCTCAAGCTGTCCTCCTCTATCTTAATCCTTCTCAGAAGTTTGGCATCGTCAGCAAACATTGAGAGGAATGAGTGTATTCCCTCTGGGAGATCATTTACATATATCAGAAACAGGATAGCTCCAAGTACAGAGCTCGAGTACAGTGAGTGTGTGTGTGTGTGAGGTAGGGGGCACAGTTATGCTTGAAGTGGGGGAGGGGGGGGGCTCAGTTATGCTTGAAGTGGGGGGGGGCTCAGTTATGCTTGAAGTGGGGGGGGGGGGGGGGCTCAGAATGCTTGAAAGATGAAAGGTTTTTGTAGTGATGGAGCTTGTTAGAGAAATGTGTGTGTTACTGTGGCAACCTGCTGGGAGGAAGGAAGAGGAGATGTAATAATAATTAAGCAGTTGTAGCTATCGGCAGTAGTGAAGATCGATAGGTATATCATGGCATATTTAGTTTACGATACTTGTGTTAATTACTATCATTCTCTAACTTTGTGTGTGACATTTGCAGGGAGTGGAACAAGAGAATGACTGAAGAGCAGGCTCGCAAAACATACGAGCGTGCTCTTAAGGTCGAAGGCGATTTTGGGGAGTATTTCACATCAATTGTAGCAGGTGATACTCCAGAGGAGGTGTATGCCCGTGTTAAGGATCTGATCCACCAACATTCTGGCCCTAAGATCTGGGTGACTTGTAAGGACAAGTTATAAAATAAGGGAAATTCCCCTATGGGGTTATTCTGTATATCCCACGCTTGAACGTTTTGTTGCTTGAAAAAAGATATTATTACATCTTATTAATGGCAGTTGATTCTTTCCAATGTATGGACTAATATTGATGCTTGAAAATATAATAATGCTGATACAAGAACCAGTGAACGTTGATGATGATGATGATCCTGATAGATCATACACAGAAAAAAGGAGCAGTAGAAGGAAAATGAGCTGTTTGAACATCTGGTGAGAAGCCTCCGATGGGCTGAAGATGAATTAATTCTTCATATTGGCTGTTGCCTATTGTAAGTCTGTGAACTTGATGATTTTTTTAAGATGATATTGTAGAGAGATTGCATCTCGTGGTGGCGGCCATACTATTGAAACTTTTCATTGTATTATAAGAGTTTTATGCCTTTACTACAGCATGAAGATGAATCAAGTGTATGACATGGAAAATGCTGGCTGGGTGTTTGTTATTAAACTGTTAGTACCCAGATGACAAATAACATATATATATATATTTAACGAATACCTGACATTGTTAAAAGTCGGCATTTTTTGGGTCATTTTGTTATGTTAGTCTGTGGCAACTCGGGAGAAGTATGATTAGAAATAATACATTTTGATATTTAAATTTATGGATAGAGGAGGAGAGAGTGGTTGCACGGAG